GTCCGTCCGCCTATATTCCGCTCCGCCTGGTTGCACGACCGCCGTCGCCGTCGCCGTCGCCATAGTGCGCCGCTCGCCGTCACGTTGTGCGTATGCGTCAGCACGTACAATATCCGCGTGCACACGTAGCTTGGCGTCCGCGTTTGCGTCCGTGTGCGCGAACGTTGTGCCACGATGCGCGCGACCGCGGGCGCGAGGATGTGTTGCGACGGAGCAAGCGCGGGAAAGAGAGGAACGGAGAAAACGCACGTACGTATGCACCAGCGTGTGTGTGTGTGCGTGTCGGTGTGCGTGTGTGTGTATATGTGCGCGCGCGCGTGTACGTGCATCCGTACGCGAGCGCGTGCACGCACGTGTGAGTGCACGCGGCAAGGTGTGGGTGCATACGGTGACCCTGCCGCGCTGGATGAGTGGGTGGAAAGTCAGGGACGTAGCGAGGGACCGGCGAGGCGCGGCGCGCGCGCGCCCGCCCGCCGCTCGCCCGCGAAACACGCGGAGCTGCGACGCGCGCGTCGTCTATTCGTTGCCCTTTAACTTTAATCTCGCCGGACGCGACGCGGCGATGTATCGGTGCGTTTTTCTTTTTTTTTTTTGCGATATCTCGCGGAAGAGCGGCCTGCGCGCTACTCGCGAACGGGGAAGACGTCGCGCTCGCGAAATCCTTCGCGTCCGCTCTCCTCTCGCGCGCCTCTCTCTCTCTTTCTTTCTCTCTCTCCGTACACGCGCGCGCGTATATACGTTTCGCTTCGAAAACGGGATGCGTGAAAAGCGCACTCGAATAGAACAAACGTCGTGTTCCGGCCAAGTTTGCTGACTCTCGACACGCGGTTTCTCTCGCCAAAGCGACGTCCATTGTATTTTCCTTCGTATCTCGTCCTATTTCGGATATTTTATGTCTAATACCACGAATTGTATCAATTTGATTTTCACGCATTGTTTTACCGTTACACGTACTTTTCAGCGTGTCTTAAATGCCAAGTGTCTCGAGCAAATGTGTTATATTAATCGTTGTGTCATCCTCGTTGCGCGATGACGAGGCTGCGTTTTGTAACGAATGAGAATTCGCGTGCCGGATTTTACGGCGTTCCACTGGATAATTCGCGCTGGATCTCCCCCTGATTAAATTTCCGAATCAGTCTTCAGAATCAGGAAGTCGCGGTGAAATTCTGCGTATCGGGCGTTCGCTCCCCCCCTCTCTCTCTCTTTCTCTCTCTCTCTCTCTCTCTCTTGAGGGTGTCAAAACCAAAATCTCTTGACACGCTCCTGCCTGGAGCGACACGTGTCCGTGTGTGCGTGTGCGTGTGCGCATAGCCAGGTTGCCACGAGAGGAGGCACCGAGGGGACGAGAAACGAAGGGGGCTCGACGAGCGAGAGGGATGTAACGGTCAGGGAGGAGGAGGAGGAGGAGAGGGTGATGTGCACGCGTGGGAGGAAGAGAAAGGGTTCGAGCGAGCGAGCGAGAGAGAGAAAGAGAGGGGAGAGAGAGAGAGAGAGAGAGAGAG